TCTTCTAGGGTCTTTAGAAGAGCTTGAGGTCTTCTAGCGTGCCTAGAAGAGCTCGAGGTCTAGAAGAGCTTGTGAGTGTCTAGAAGAGCTTGAGGTCTTCTATGCTCTCTAGAAGACCTTGAGGTCTTCTATGCTCTCTAGAAGACCTAGAGGTCGTCTATGCCCTCTAGAAGACCTTGAGGTCTTCTATGCTCTCTAGAAGAGCTTAAGGTCTTCTATGCTCTCTAGAAGAGCTTAAGGTCTTCTATGCTCTCTAGAAGAGTTTAAGGTCTTCTAGGGTCTCTAGAAGAGCTTGAGGTCTTCTATGTTCTCTAGAAGAGCTTAAGGTCTTCTATGCTCTCTAGAAGAGCTTAAGGTCTTCTATGCTCTCTAGAAGAGCTGGAGGTCGTCTATGGTCTCTAGAGAAGATTGAGGTCTTCTAGGGTCTTTAGAAGAGCTTGAAGACTTCTATCGTCCTTAGGAGACCTTGGGGTCTTCCATCGTCCTTAGAAGGCCTTGGGGTCTTCTAACGTCCTTAGAAGGCCTCAGAATTTGTTATTTATTTTTTCCCACCATTTTCAATTGCTCCTCGTTTTTTAATTTCGCCGTAATCACTTAAAGCGAACAACATTATTGTCTCATGATGACGGGTGATGATTGTCCGTCATCATCATTATGAGAATCGTAACAATAAAACACTGATGGCTTATCGCAGCGACTACGTGCAGCAAAGCAAATAAACATAAATTTAATTTAAAAAAGATGTTAGCAGCAGACACAGAAAACACAAGCCAAGAAATCCGAAAAATGAGTTAAAGCAAACGAAAAAAAACTCTTATGGAAAATTTATAACGAAAGAACTTTCTTCTTTGGACATAAATTAGGGTTTGCAGACACAATGTTCAGAGTTTCCTGGGGTGTCTTACTTCGGTATTGCTTATAAAGATCGAAAAATGTAGATTGAAATTTTGGAGGGATGGAATAATGGAAATGTTTACAACTCTCCGTTTTTATCTGTTGGCTTAGATTCCATTGGTGAAAATATCTGGATAAGAAACCTTCAGGATAAAAATGTCTGCAATCCTTTCATCAATAAATTCTTTAAAATGTTGTCCTAAAAGTTTAAAATTCAGCGTCCATTTTACCATGAAATTTTGGAGGGATGGAATAATGGAAATGTTTACAACTCTCCGTTTTTATCTGTTGGCTTAGATTCCATTGGTGAAAATATCTGGATAAGAAACCTTCAGGATAAAAATGTCTGCAATCCTTTCATCAATAAATTCTTTAAAATGTTGTCCTAAAAGTTTAAAATTCAGCGTCCATTTTACCATGAAATTTTGGAGGGATGGAATAATGGAAATGTTTACAACTCTCCGTTTTTATCTGTTGGCTTAGATTCCATTGGTGAAAATATCTGGATAAGAAAACTTCAGGATAAAAATGTCTGCAATCCTTTCATCAATAAATTCTTTAATGTTTTGTTCGGAAACTTCAAAATTCATCGTCAATTTTTTATCATAAAATCATGTTAAGTTTAATTTTAAAAAGTGTCAGGGTACCACATTTCTTAGTAAAAATATCCTATACCCAATAAATTCCCATAGCTCTTCCTGATTTACGGGATTTTTTCATTTCCTGCAATCCCTAACAACAGCCAACAAATCACCGAAATTAAAATAGGTTGACAGCTGGTGTCGACACGCGGTCAGCCGTTTAAATTTAATAAAAATGAAGACAAGACAAAAAAAGCTTTCAGAAGTTATCATTGCACGCCTGTCGTCGCCGCTGCAAGTCAGACAATGTAAATAAAAAAAAAAAAAAAACAATTAACAACTGACATATAAATACTGCCGCCGCCGACAACTCCGATGCATCCGAAATAAATAAAAACATAATTCAAAAAAATGAACAGCTTGTAAACAAATGTCAAAAATTCTATACAAAAGAAAATTGCCCTACATTGAGGGCAGTGAAATAATGGGTTGATGGAAGTGTGGAAATGTGGAGCACTTTGCATTACTCATATAATCTTATGCGGGATAAGAAGGGAACTCAAAAATATGAGTAAACTTTTTTAAAAGTTATGAAAAGTATTTTGTGTTTTAAAATTAATCGTGGAATATATACATCTCTCAGAACTCTAGAGCTACATTATGATGCCGCTGAAGAAGATCTACAGGATTTGAAGATTTGTTTCATTAAAAAATGAAGCATTTTATGAATGTCATCAAAATGCTCCGATTTTTGCATTTTATGAACACAGTTCATAAAACATGTGAGAGAGAGAGATAGAGAGAGGGAATTGTCAACACTTGTCTATATTATTATATGTAGCACAAATAGAGAAGAGATTTTCAAAATGTACATGGAGAGTGTTGTCGACTCTCTTTATATTATGAACACAGTTCATAAAACTTAAAATATTATCTGTTTGGTGGGTATGAGATAGAGTCAAAAGAGAATTTTTGTGAGTTTTTTTTTTCTTATTGAAGTAGACGTTTTCCCGACTTTTTATTGGAACCAGCAGTCAAAACTAATTTATTTATTTACAAAATGATGAAAAATTGGAGTTACTGTATTTTATCAACACAGTCCCTAAAACTAGACCTAGGAGACAAACCAAAAAAATGCAAGAAATAGCTATAACTGTAAAATGGCATAAAAAATATTTTTGCTTTAAAATTCCTTTCGCAGGGAATCTAACCAGAGTGAAAGAATATAATTCTCATTTACTTCATAAAAATACATTAATAAATAGTTTTACAACTTAATTCGCCGAAAAATTTCAAATTTCGTATATGAAGTCTCCAATAGGTACTACAGCCTGTGACAGAAAGTTGCAGGTCCAGGTCTTGGTATAGCGCCGATATAACGGTACCGTTATTTTGACGATTTTAAGTGCATCATTCACCGGTTTTGTTTTCAAGTTTTAATATTGCAATAGATTATGACAAAAGTTAACTATGCAGGTCCACGTCTTCGTATAGTCCACAATATAACGGCTATATTCGGTATTTTTAAAACTTTAACAGAATTTTTAATGGACTTTAGTTTTTTTGGAAATTTCCAAATTCTTTCCGAATGTAGTTTTTTTACATTTTTTTTTTTTTGCTTTAAATGTAATCTTTAGTAAACATTTTAAATTAAGCAACTAGATGAACGAAATAGCTTAATATTGTTCTGATGGTTCACTTTCCGCAGACCTTGAATATTCCAACAGGACTAAGCGCCATCGGACTCAGTACGCGCCACCTAAGAATGGTTACAAAATGGTGTTCCTCGCTTCATTTCCAGCGCACAATGGCCACCAAAATCTCCGAATATTAATCCGTTGGACTATTGAGTCTGGAGTATTTTGGAAAGCAATGTAGGCACTAAAAAAATATCAAAGTGTCGAACACCTCAAGCAAGCGCTTCGCCGGGAATGGGCGAAAATACTGCAGAACAACATTCGGGCAGCGTGTGACGGTTTCATTGGCCGTTTAAATGCCAAAGGTGACCAATTCGAACAAATCTAAGCTTATTCTAAAGTTTGATGCTATTTCCGACATTTTTTTGGCTTTCATTCAATAAAATTTAAAAAAAATGTATAAATTATGGCGTTTGATTTTGTAGCAGTTTTTTAATCTCGCCCTGTATTTGTTATTTTGACGATTTTAGGTGCATCATTCACCGGTTTTGTTTTCAAGTTTCATATTTTAATATTGTAATAGATTATGACAAAAGTTGCCTATGCAGGTCCACCTATTTGTATTGACCCCAATATAAGGGCTATATTTTTAACGGATTTTATTTATTTATTTATTTTTTGTTTAAATTTTCAAATAAGTTCCAAATGGTGGAGAGTATTCTAAGTTCGGTTTCGGAACTTAATGGTTTTTAACTTTTTTTAATTTAATCGTTCGTAAAAAATCTATATGGTAGTTAAAAATAAAGAACTAGATTAACGAAATAACTTAATATTGTTCTGATGGTTCATTTTGTGAAAAAGTTCATTTGAACTAGTTCCTATAGTCGACATAGTTCACAGATCGATTCATCTTTTAAAATTTTGTCATTTCGGTAAAGCTGAGTTGGTAATATATTGGTAGAGAGTTCGTTTCTTAGTAACTAATGAAAAAGGACGATTTTGACTAACAAAAATCAGCTAATGTTTGCAGCAGAGCATTAAAATAAACTAGGAGTTCAAGGTCTCTGTAATATTGAAAATAATTCCTAAGTAATTTGCTAGTTTGAAGCTGGGCATAAATGTTATAGAATAGTTCGCTCATTAATAGAACAGCGAAAAGTAATGTTTTTAACTTAACTAGTTCAGCGACTCTTTTCAGTATAATTCTTCAATCGAATTAGATAGTTGATAAAATATACAAACCATAAGTCTTTAATTACTTACTTAATTTGCCCCTGGGCTTCCATTTGAACTCAACCACAACAATCAAAAAGGTATTACTAAGTAGTAATTTCTGAGCTATACATCAAAATCTAAGTGTAGCAATTTATAGTTCGGTTGCTCTTAAACAACGAAAATAAACAATTTTAGCTTAACTAGTTCAGTGGTTCCTTTCAGTGAATTGTTAAATTTAACCTGGTGATTCGTAAGCTACACGACATCAAATATAAGACTTCAGTCATTAATTTAGCTCGCCCTTGTGATCTATAAACTTTAATTTGAAGAAGGAGGAGAATTCCAGAAAATTATATACATGGGTTTTTGAGTAGTGGTTAGGGAGAATTTAAAAATCTGTAAACGTGTTTCAAAAACGAAGACGGAGACCCACAATGGTCTATAAAAGTGGATTTTTAAGAAGGATTTTCCGAAGAACTAATGAAGTACACTTAATGGTCTATAAACGAATCTTTAAACAAATTTTTTAAAAAGTACTTAAGGAAGATTCCTGGTGGGAGTGTTTATTTTCTAGAGGGAGAACCAAGCAGACTTTTATCGGATTAGCAGATTTGGCAGCCATATTTTCAATTTTATTATTTAAAAATTAGTTGTAAAATCAATATGAACTTACCTTTGTTCTATAAAGAGGATTACTAAAATCCCAATCTGGTGCTACAAATAAATATCCACATTTCGATACTTTACGGGAGGCCTGAAATAGATAAATTAGGAAAATATTAGAATTTCGCACAACTTTAAATTGAAATCCAATAAAAAAAATAAAGTTTGAATCAAATTAAAAAAAGGATAAAATATAAAACAATAACTACCGAATTTCTATATCCGAAACTAAAAAAAAAAATAAATTATAATTTGTAATATTTCTGGACATGGATCTACATTCAATCCATTGATCAAGGAGCTGTAGTGGGACTTTAATATTGACAAAGTAAAAAAGCAGCTAAGTTCGACCGGACCGAAATTTTTATAGCCTCCGTTGAAAATAACTCAAAAATGAAAACCTTTATATTTTGGCTACATAGAGAAGACATGGTGTAATTTTGCATAATATGAAATCTGAAGTAATTCCGGTGAGTAATGCCGCTAAAATCATGAAAATACCGAATATCTGGGAGTACCGTTATATGTGTGCTATAGTAGGTGGTAAAGTACTCTCGAAGAACTCCTTCTGTAGAATTGCAAACAATTCCATCTTCGAACTTGATCTGCCTGAAGACTTGTAGTTTTCCAGCCAAATATAAAGAAATTACACCATCACGTTGGAATTCCATCACTAATATTTTTTCTGGGAAATTCTCAACAAAATGCTTTTGTACGACTGTAAACAATATCTTGAGCTGTCACTGGAATAATTTTAATAGCTGTCGGACGAGTGGCTTAAAAATGACAGCAGTCCGAACTTGGTTGCAGTTTTTTCATCTTACCATGTATATACTTTGTTGGGTTTAAAATTATTATTTCGATGAGTTACAAACGCAAAGATAAATTTAATATGCTCTCAATACTATGTATGGTGGATTGTATAAAAAGCAACAATTTGCTGTCAACATTGAAGTATTAGAACCCAAATATATGTAATTTTCAAAGATCCGTCGTGGGTTCTCCGAGTATGGAAGTGGTAACAAATTGGAATTACATCTTGTCTAAGAGTCATAAGGGGGCTCGAAGAATTAAAAGTTACATCATACAAACTAGTCGAACTAAAAACCCGTCAGGGGACTAAGGTTGTTTCACACTCCCTTCCACCGAAACTCCAAGGAAATATTTTCCCGGGCCAGCTCAGCATCATATCCACATACGACAAGTCCCGACATTTTGTGAAAACAGTAAGTCATACCAAGCTATATCTGAATTGATATAAGTACACTATTTGATCGTAATTAAAAATATACCGGCAGATGTTGAAAACCTCATAACTGGTGGCTAATTCCGATTCAAAAAATTTTTTATGTTGGAAATTTAGAAAGTAGAAACTATACGAACGCAAAACCCGTCATGGACCTTAGGCTGTTATACACTCCCTCTTACCCACAAGTGAAGTGAAGCAGCCTAAAGCCGCAATAAATATAAGTCTACTACTTGAATCTGTACTCTGTAAAGTTAAATTTATTAGAGCGCTACACTACGAAATTGTAAACGAAAAACTACCCATTTCACTCTTCATCACTTCAATATTTTCTGTATCAAACCCTACGCTCCGTGAGCCTATCTCAGCGACCGTAGGAAACTCGTCGTTACCATTGTTACTGATAAATCGACTTAGTTCCGATCGAATAAAAAAAAACAATATACCACCAGTTGTTTGAAAATCCCATAACCGGTAGCTAATTTGAATTCAAAAATGTTTTTTGTTAGCCCTGCATAAGCTACTGGTAGCAAACTAGCTTCTGGTTTCGGAAAATGCAGCTACTTGAAAAAAAAAAAAACAACAAAACACCGTATTCAAAATAGTCTGCTCGAGTAAATTACATTTAATGGAGGGATTATTTTTAATGCATTTCAGTCAGTGCTCACTTCTGGTTGATTGTTTGTTCGGTGGTTCGTTGCTTGGTTGGAAGATGACAAACAATTGGGCCAATTTGCCTCGGTGTTAGTTGTTGGTGGAGACAAGAAAGCAAGTCCGTCTTTCCATCATTCACAAAAAAGTGTTGCAGTTGCTAATGATTAACACCAGCACCAAAGGCAAATTTTCGAGGGGGAATCGTAGGCAATTATTTGTGGAAGGTTCGGTAAAGAAGGAACTATTTGTTTGCTGTTGTTAATGATTACTGGACTCATTTGTTATTAATATTATAATAAGATTAAATTCAATAAAATTACAGGAATGAAAAAATTTTCTTATTTTTAAAATAAGAAAAAAATCAAACCCCAACAAATATCGATATGTCCAGAAGAGAACACTTGGATGTAAGGACGGACATCTATGCAATGTTGCCTATTCCATGCGTCAATAGATAAGAACTATTGAATGACTGCGATTTGGTTAAGTAATCATTAAGTAACCCATTAATTGCAAATATTTCCAAATAAAATCTGATTTGAAACTGAAGCCGTATAGAGCGGATGCTTCATTCTCAACATTTGGTCCTTCGAGCCGGATAGATTTGAAACGACAACCGAGATGGAGAGTTCTCTTAGTTTAAGTAATTCTAAAGTGAAAATATTTATTAATAAAATCAGGTTTGAAACTAAGCCCGAACCGAGCGTTTATATCATTCTAAACAGTTGGTCCTTCGAGTCGGATAGATTTGAAACGACAATCGGGTCGGAAGGTCGTCTTTTCATTTCATTTCTTTTACATTTGGTCCTTCGAAAAAAATTTGTTTTTCCACTACCGCTCATGGCTACCGATATACTCATAAAGAGACCACCTGAATCAAAGGATGATCATCCATGTTAGATTGCCTAATCCATGTGTGAATAGATATGAACTATAGTATGGTTGCGATTAGGTTTAGTAAAGTATAGTTTAAGTAATTCTTAAGTGAAAATATTTATAAAGAAAGTTAGTTTTAAAATCGAAACCACACCGAGCTATTGCTTCATTCTCAAAATTTGGTACTCATTAAGAGACCATCTGAATCAAACGACGATTATCTATGTTAGGTTGCCTAATCCATGTGTGAATAGATGAGAACTCTTGCATGACTGCGAATAGATTAAGTAAAGTATAGTTTAAGTAATTCTTAAGTGAAAATATTTAAAAATAAGGTCAGTTTTGAAACCGAACCCGAACCGAGCAATTGTTTCATTTTAAAAATTTGGTCCTTCGAGACGGATAGATTTGAAACGAAATCCGAGTCGGATTTCATTTTTACATTTGGTCCTTGAAAAAATTAAATTTTCCCCCACCCGTTTACAGTTATCGATGTGCTCAGTACGAGATCAATTAAAAGAGGTAAGAAAGCTGTAAATTCGGCCCATGTGGAGCGAATTTGGCAATATAAAAAAAAAAAAATAAATAAATAAAATTCGTTAACAATTCTTTTAAAATCTTAAAAATACCGAATGTAGCCGTTATATTAGGGTCTACACGACGACGTGGACCTACATAGGCCACTTTTGTCATAAGCCATTACAATATTCAAATGCGAAACTTGAAATAAATCAGCCAATAATGTAGCTAAAATCACCAAAATACCGAATATCAGGAGGTACCGTTATATGGGGGTTATAACGAAACGTGGACCAGCACAGAAAAATGTCTGCCACAGGCTGTAGTATCCATTGCGAACTTCAAATACGACATTTGAAACATTTCCGATGAATAATGTCGCTAAAATTATTAAACAACTGAATATCTGGAGGTTATATGAGGGCTATACCAAAACGTGGACATACATGGTCCATTTTCAATACCAAAACACTTGCATTTTTTATAAACCTATATCATTTCGTTCGGAAGCTAGAATGATTTCCACAGACCGACAGGCGGGCGAACGGAGGGACGGATGGACATCGCTAAATCGACATAGAATTTTATGCTGTTCAAGAAGAATATACAGGGTAAGATAAAAAAACTGCAACAAAGTCAAACGCCATAATTTTTAATTTTTTAATTTTTTTTTTGAACGAAAGCAAAAAATGTCGAAAATTGCATCAAATTGTAGAAAAAAATTAGATTTGTTCGAATTGATCACCTTTGGCACGAAGTATGGCCTTCTAACGATCAATGAGAAACCGTCACACGCTGCCCAAATGTTGCTCTGCGGTATTTTGGTCCATTCCCGGCGAAGCGCTTGCTTAAGGTGATCGACACTTTGGTATTTTTTAGTGCCAACCTTGTTCTCAAAATACTCCAGACACAATAGTCCAACGTATTGGTATCTGGAGATTTTGGTGGCCATTGTGCGCTGGAAATGAAGCGATGAACCTCATTTTGTAAATGCTTGCGTGACCAAGGCATTAATACACCCTCCAGAATATTTTCGCGATAATATTCGGCATTTATTCTGATGACACGGTCGATTAATACGAGCGGAGAGCGACCATCGACTGTTATGGCGGCACACACCATCACGATGGTCGGCGCTTGAGTTCTGGTGGCCTAAAGTGCACATTTTCAGCTGACCTCTTTGGCAAGTAAACAGGATCATTTTGTTTATTTACAAACTGCTGGGCAACGAATGTTTTCTCATCGGAGAAAACAAAATTCGGCAGATCCCCACTTTCGGCCAAGCGAAACAACTCTTTAGCCTTTTTGAGTCTATTTTCTTTCTGTTGCAGTGTAAGTTCTTGCACTTTTTGGAATTTCAATGGCTGGCATCCCGAGCTAATTTTTCACTATTCGTCGAATGGAATATTGCGATATGTTCAGCTCACGAGTCATTTTTCGTCCACTGCGGCGCAGGTTTCGATCAAGTCTCTTCTTTACTTCTCGAACCATTTCTGCTGATGTTGCTGTTTTCTTCCGTTCACTTCCTAGACGTCGGGCTACGTTACCAGTATCGTAGTAACGAGCGATGTTTGGAGACACAAAAGATTTATTCACATTTAAATGCTGGAGTTTTCTAACGGTAGCCCCTTGTGATTTTCCAGCCAAAATATAAAAAAATCATCACGAATAACTTTTTTGCTGGAAAATTCTCACCAAAATGCTTTTGTACTCTTGTAAACAATATAATGAGCTGTCACTAAAATAACTTTAACAGCTGTCGAAAGAGTGGTTTAGAAATGGTAGCAGTCTGAAGT